TGGACATAAGGAAGAATTTCTTTACTGTCCGAGCCCCTGAGGTCTGGAACAGCCTGCCATAGGAGGTGTTTCAAGCACCTACATTGAACACCTTCAAGAGCAAATTGGATGCTTATCTTGCTGGGATCCTATGACCCCAGCTGACTTCCTGCCCTTTGGGCGGGGGGCTGGACTCAATGATCTTCCAAGGTCCCTTCCAGTTCTAATGTCTATGAAATCTATGAAACCTGTACTGTACCACCTGGGCAAGCTCCATCCCCCTGCCTCCCCCTCCGCCCACATCCTGGCCAGGTCCCGGGACCTACTATGCAGCCAGCCTCCCTTCACAAATCTATATCCCCCCCAACACAAACACCCACATACTCCTCCCCTCTCCCCCATACAATATGCAAAACTAAAACTTTATTTTGAGCTATTATGCAATCACCTCTATATACACTACTCAAAAAAAACATATATCAGGACAAAAATATTTATTGAGATAAAATATGTTACAGTAGATGTTTAAATTTTAGTATGTTTTTTTATGCATATAATTTGTTAAAATGATATCTTCTGAAATATTGTGTGTGTACGGCCCTTGACGGTTCACTGAAACTCATTAAGTGGCCCACAAACTGAAGTAACTGCTCACCCCTGTTTCAGAAGCTTTAGAAATTAAGCATCAACATTTTAAGAAAGTATTTATCAATAAACTTAATTTCCAACGCTATTTATTTTCCTTTGATTTTAAAACGGGTGCTCAACCTGCAGGCCAAATGCAGCCTGCAGAGCCACTGCATCTGGCCCACAAGTCTCCACACATTTGGGAAATTTGGAATTGGGGGAGCAGTGGCTACGCTTACCAGCTGCCAAATTCATGTGCCCCCTCCCCCAGCACAGCTTGACCTGGGCCAAACTATGCCCCCTTCTCTCTGTGCCTCTGGGTTGGGGCCAGGCCATGCCCCGTCTCCTCCCAAGAGGCATGATCAGAGCTGGGCCGTGCTCCCTCCCTGCCCTCTGCAGGGCTGATTCAGGTGTGGGCCATGCCCCCTGTCCCCTCCTCCCCGACCATGCTGGATCCATCCAAGCTGCCCCCAGCCACATGCATCCTGTGGATGGACCAGGTACTGCTCATCTCGCCCCCTAAGAAAAAAGGTTGAACAGCACTGATATAGTTGCTTCTCTTGCTTCTCGAGTGACCTATATAGATTTGTTCTAAGTTGACCAGAAAAAGCTCTCACTTAATATGCCAAGTATTTAATAAAAAACAAAAAAAGCTAAAAATCCCTCAGATAGTAAAATACACAAAATCATTTAACATTTTTTTCAACAGGCATTTTCTCAGACCATGCAATTTCTTTAACTCCTTTCTTGCCTGTTACGCCTGATGTCTTTAGAGACCATAAGGATTCCAGACCATTAACTGAAATAATTTTAGTAAAAGCACAGGGCTGAGGTAAAAATCCTACCTGTAATCCCAGCTTCACAATGTCGTCTTTCTCCTCCCCCATTTGCTAACGAAAGCAGCAGTACTGAGCAGAAGGCAGGGACTTCTACTTACTTAACAAGCGATCAGGTTTTTATGTTTTGTCTATTTCATTTTCTACCATTTGTCTTTAAAGACTATTCCACATCCTAATACATGTGTTAATTCACTAGACAAATCTCTCTGCTACTCCAGTCTTGGCTAGACAAACACCTCACTGTGGTCGTTTGACCCCAGTACTCTTTCCTGCCATGGCAGGGGGTCGGACTTGATGATCTGCTCAGGTCCCTTCCAACCCTACAAACTATGAAACTATCCTGAACACAATAACTGACTGTACTAAACTGTACCAAAGTGCACGATGCAAGTAAATGCAACGATTAGATTAAACCAAATGAGTTAAACTCCCTTGGC